TATATAGGATTTATTTACCTGTGCATTCAGGACAGTATATTTAATCACAAAATGTTGCCCAAAGAAATTAATCAGTGCTTCCATAATTGTGTCTCAAGGCAATTTATAAACTTCATTTGAAAGAAAAAGGTAAAATTATTGTTGTAGAAACTGATTTACAGAAGGAAATGGAGGAGGAAATACGTTATAATACAGATACTTAATCTCTAAAGTGGGAGGAATTATATTTACTTCCACTATGATTTTGATTTTTTATTATATGCTCCTAAAAGTATTTGGGAATTGATTTTTAAAGGTCTTACTAGGTATAGTTAATGGCTTTTAAAGAATCAATCCATACTAGATGTGACTATAGAAACCAGAATATTAAAGGATAGATAATACTTTGTACCTATATGCTAAGCAAAGGACTATGATTAACAAAAGGTGGGCTCTCAAAAAGGATTGGATATTGATCTTCAGTTGCATATTTTCATCTGGTTCTCATCAAAATCAGTGACATCTTGGAGTGTCATTCTGATGATATTTTAGGGGAGGGTGATATTTTATTCTACTGATATTTCTGGAGTTTTATATTGCTTTATTTTTTTCCCAATTATTTGTAATAACTTTTTTATAAGAGATTGGGAATTTTTGGTGTGAATGGGCCTCTGGTCCTTTGTTTAACAACTGTTGAGGAAACTAATCAGCCAATAAGCCTTTGAAAACTAAATTATTTGATGTTTCATCAGTCTTTGTGCTTTTCCAAAACCTTTAGAGGTAAAGTATACCTTGAAGTACTCTCTTTCTGAAGAAAAAAACTCCACTATATTATCCCTCTCTCATGAAGCTAGGAAAGAATTGGATTCAGTCAATGAATTTACTTGGTATGTATTAACAGGTGATGCTTATTTGTGAGCATATAGATATACTCTAAGGATTTTACTCTACAATGGATAATTGGTTCAATGCTTACTGATAGTCGCTGTTAGATTTTAGATATATTTTCTTACTATATCCTTTCTGGACACCAAATATCACCTTTATTATATCTCAAACTCTGTAAATTATATATTATTAGCTTTTCTTATTTTCACTATTTATGTAGATCTGTATTTATTAAATGGAGTGATAAATATCAAGGACATATTATTGACTTTTAAAAAGTGATTAACAAAATAATAGCATAATCATTTAATTTTAAATTGTGTCATATATTTGTATGCTTAGAGTTCTGAAAGGATAATTAGTAACATGTTAACATTGAGTATTTATTTGGGGTATGAGAGATAGGTGTTTGAACTCAGTGGACAGATGATATTTTTAAAATTTGAAATATCAACAAACAATTTTTATTTTAATACAAAAGAATAATGCCAGTGAACATTAGGTTTGATTTGACAAATTCATTTAAATTCCATTTTCTTTTCTTTTTTTTTTTTTTGGTACCGGGAACCGAACTCAGGTCCTTGCACTTGCACAGCAGGTGGCAGAACCACTGAGCTAAATCCCTGGCCCTAAATTCTATTTTCTTATGAGGAAAAAAATAATAGAAGAAAGTTCTTTCCAAAAGATACATCAAGAAACAAATTGCATGCATGTCCAAAAAGAAGAGTTATTAGCAAGTTAGAGGCTCTCTATCCTATCCTCCTCCCCTCCTCCCCTCCACAAGAAATTTTTGGGAGAGAATAGGTTTTATACACCATTATACAATTAAATATGAATTTGTTTGTTTTTTTTCTTTATATATGAGCAGCCTGTACTCCTGTACCTCTGTGATGCTATCAAACAACCTGTTTTCTCTTCTCCTTGACATCTGTATAATCTCCAAAACTTTCATCTAGTGGTTATATTTCTTCTGTGCCAGAAAAGTTTTTCTAAAGAATGATAAGATTACAAGTATTCCAGTTTTAATAGATGTCTTTGTTACTTTCTCATTGCTGGGACAAAATACCTAACACCTACAAGGTAAAGGAGGAAGGGATTATTTTAGCTCACAGCTTGTAGAAGTTTCAGTCCATAGCTGGCTGACTTCAAGGCAGGGTGGCATGGCTAAAGGGCATGGCAGAGGAGAAACAGTCTATGGCAGAGCAGGCAGTAGGCAGGAGGCAGCAAAGAAGAAGCTGTCCTTCTATTCTCTTTTTATTACATTCAGGCTTAACAAACCTATTTGTTGGTGCCACTCACACCCAAGGTGGGTTTTCTGTCTTCAGTAAATCAACTCAGCCGCACTCAGAACTGTTAATGCAAAGGGGCCTAATGAAGTTATCATACTCTTAATCCAGTATCATACAGCTATGATCCAGCCACCTCCCAAAAGCCACAGCTATGAGCACATGAGGCTCTGGGTTGGTGGGGCATCTAGATATAAGCCATAACAATAGAACTATCTAACTTTGATAGAATCATTTTTAACTTTGGCAGGTTAGGTAAATAATATTCTTGAGATCTCTAAGGTGGGGTGTCTCATTAGGCAAAGATTTGAACAAGATTCAGTAGTTGAGTCTGCTAAGGAACTTTATTATCCCTTTCTTTGAATTGCCAAAGACCTGCAATAGGCTCATATGAGAAGGAGGATATGAGACCAACACTTTACACAGGCCAAGGCAACACTTTGTCAGTAATGATTATTGGTCAGAAATAATACATGTTTTATTGTCTTGCAGTATATCACACTGTGCACTTGGCACTTAAATGGAAGTTTTCTTCCAGCTCCTGGTAAGGTAAGGCTATTATATGTGCATCCTTGATGAAATCTTTTCTAATCAGTGCTGGTGTGGTACATTTGCAGTTTGATAATAATGTTGACTCCTGTAGCACAGAGCCTGAGGGCTTGAAGCTTAAACTTTTCACAAGATTTACTTCAAAAGATTGCAAACTGGTCTGTGAACCAAACCATGGCCACAAATCTGTGCTTCTTTTTGTTCAAGTCTGAGAACTAACAGGGGAATTTAGATTTTTTTAAATAGGGTTCTAAAATAGAATCGAAGAATAAGCAACAGAGGCCTATAAAGCCTAAAATATTTACTTTTGGAGATTTTCAGAAAAATTTTGCCAACTGCTGATCTATGTGATCAATGTAATATGACTCTGAATTTAAAATATTAACACAAATTATAGTGCAGTGGCCTTCCATGTGAACAAATACAGCATATCACTTATACATCCCTGAGAATGATAACTGTGGGATTGAGGAGGCTTAAATGTTTCTTGTTCTTCATGATTTTCAATGTTTCAGTCCAATCTTCCTTTCCTTTTTTGAAAAATTAATATTATTGGTACATTTTAGGTTTATAATATAATGACATTCATCATTGGAGATATGCATCTTTACATAATCTCTATTGGTTCTTATTTTTTCCCCCTTCCCCTGCCATCATATCAACCACTCCATCCCTCCATATTTACAAAGACTTTGTTTCCTTTTTAAAATTTTCTCATATTAATTCCATTCCCTTCTTTCATTTCCCCTACCCCTCTCACTTCCCCTTCCCCTCTCACTTCCCCTTTGACCCTTTTCTTCCTATTTCAGATTGTCTATTATATCTTTTAGTCTTTATTTACACTTTCAGTTTCTCACACTAGAGAAACTATTCAGTATTTACACATGTGTACTATTTCTTTCACTTAAGAATATCACCTCAATGTGCATCCATTTAGCTGTAAATGTCTCTAATTTCTCATTTTTATGGCTGAGTAGTACTCTATTTTATATAAAAAAAACACATTTTCTTTATCCAGTCTCCAGTTGATGGGCATTTGGGCTGTTTCCAAGTTTTAGCTATTACAAACTGTGCTGCTAT